GAGGCTGGAGTCAGATGGGTCGGAAATCCCGTGGTAATTCTCCAGGCACCTGCAATCGATGGTTTTCATAAAGTTGCCTAATTCGGACTGACCAGCCACGCGATGCTAGCCATATGAGCTCTAGTGGCTTGGCATCTGCCTGACGCGAACTTGGGGTTTGACGCACGTCAAACGGAACGATTTCATCTGCAACAAAACGCGATTTCTACATTGATTTTGTTTTCTCTAATTTAGAGCATATCAGGTTCATTCATATGTGATTACACAGATCGGTCACGCAATGTCGAAAGGTTGTGTTGAGATGATTCATTCGTCGTCTCTACTCGTGACCCTAGGGTATGGAGGGCACGCATTACTCCATCGACTACATCTTTCCTGAAAAACAGAAGACAGCAAGCGCCAAATGACACATTGCTTCCGCAGACTCAAAAACTTCGCCGTAGCAGGCGCGTCTCCATCTACGAGTCGTCGCCGATATCGACGACGGTCTTCTTCCACTTGCGGGCAGGGACCTTGCGCTTGAACAGAATGTCGATCTCGCGGTAAGAGCGGCCCTTCATCTCGGGGAGGAAGAAGTATGCGACAACAAAGCAGAAGAAACCGGTACCGGCCCAGACGTAACCGCACTTGCCGCCAAGGTTGGCCTCCTGGAATGTTTGTTAGCGAGATGTTCATTGTGACATTTGAAAAGGGAGAAAACTTACGTCGGGGTTGAGCATGTAACTGGCGAGGAAAATGCAAGGAATGTTGACAACGTAGTAAGCACCACGTCCGATACCGGTAGTGAGGGGCCTGAGACGAATGGACGAGGTCTCTCCGATAATAACCCATGAGGCGGGAGCCGGTCCGAGAGTGAACAGAACGGAGACAATCAGACCCAGGGAAGCCTGGGCAAGAGAAGCTGCGTTGGAGACACCGACGGAAGCGGCGATACCGAGAGCGACGAGGAAACCGACGTTGATGAGAGATCCCCAAACGTAGATAGTGCGGCGGCCGAGGTAGGTGGTGAGAATCCAGGAAAGCATGACGAAGATCATCTGGAGAGCGGAGGTAATAAGACCAAGGGCGAAAGCGGTGTTGACCGAGATACCAGCTTGACGGAAGAAGTAGACGGCCTGGTTGGCGATGAGGTTACCAGTCAAGTTCTGGGCAGCGTAAACACCGCAGACGATGAGAGTACGGTAGCGGTCGGTGCCCTTGAACAGCTCCAAAAGACTGGGCTCCTTGATGGACTTCTCGAGATCGATGGTACGGCGCATCATAGCGACGGCCTCGCTGAGGTTGAGCTGGCCCTTGCGTCCAAGACGACCGACGGCCTTCTCAGCTTGCTCGAGCTTGCCCTTGCGTACTAACCACCAGGGAGACTCTGGCGCCAGGTAGATGAGGATAGCGAGAGGAGTGGGGAACATCCATTGAAGCGCAATGGGGATTCTGTAGGCGCTCGCGTCGGGCTTGGGGTTGTAGTAGTACGCGACACCGTTAACGATGATAGCACCGATAGCCCAGAACATTTGCAACATCTGTGTAGCCGGGGCACGGAGCTGGATAGGTGTAATCTCAGAGCAGTACGCGGGAGCGTTGGCGATGAAGATACCCCACGGGACACCCTCGAGAAGCTGGGAGACGAACATGATTGGGAGCGAGTTGGCGAAGTAGAAAACGAAGATGAAGCAGTTGAGAAGCATCAGACCGGAAATGGTCGCCCATCGGTATCCAATGCGGCTGGTAAGAGGACCAGCCAGGCAGACACCGATAATGGCACCAACGGGTCCTCCCATCTGAAGCGCTGATTGCCAGCTAGCCGCGATGATCTTGCCGTGTGGTCGGTCGGGGTCCGGGTGTGTGAGCGGGATACCGAATTCCTTCTCGAATGCGGGCAGAGCGATGAAGTTACCCATCAGGAAGACACAGTAAGCCTCCATGATCTAGAGACATTCATTAGCAACCGCATCTTGATTATGAGGGATTTGAGCGAGGAGCTTACAATAGTGCAAGACATGATGAAGGCCCATAGAGCAGCCATAGGGTACGCCTTGACAGCTTGAAGGACACCCATGTCATGCTCAGCAGTCTCAGCATCCATAGCCTGCGTCTTGAACATAGCAGCCTGAGCCTTCTCGTCAAGCGCGACCGAGTCGTCGACATGCGAGATGGCCTTCTCGACGTGCACATCACCGCCATATTCCTTGGGGACGTCACCCATCTTTGCGAAAGGGCTCTTGCCGGGGTATAACAAGAAGAAAAAAGGCAAAGGGTATCAGATCAGAGAAAGGAACTCTGGGCTGGCAAAGAAGACAAAAGGACAAACCGGGGAAACGTCTCCACCTTATAAACAGCACGGGGTGCGCACACTCAACGCGGGGCGGCTTAAATGTAACCTTGCAGCAACGGCATTTAGGCATGGTTAGCCATCTGGTGTACAGTAGTCCACCCCCGGAGGCGCTTGAACCATCCACCCACCCCTCCCCATCTCCGAGGCGCGCATTGTCTAATTCCCCAGAAAGATGGAAAATCCGTCGCTGGCGACTGGTGGGTCCTCCGTCAGCGCTATGTGCACATGGAAGGAATGTACGAGACAGATTCCATCAATCACGGCTTCTGGCTATCAAGCTGGTTCCTTGCGCCGTCTGCGCAAGGGCCTCCAAGCCGTGCGAGGCGGCTGTCACGACAGAGTCGTGCTGTGTCGCTACGCTGGCCTAGCAGCGGACCGCTCACCAGATGTATCCATAGCGCTGCGTGTTGGTTTGCAGGTGGCTGTTTCCTGTCTGCTCTAGACTTCGTATTGCTGGTTGCTCGTCACCTATCAGAACTGTCGATGCAAAGCTTTGTTCCGGTGCTAAAATACGCGCGCTAATATCCCCGCACCGCGACAGGCTTGTACGCTTGTTAACTGGAGTAGACCCGTTATTTATCCGTGGGCTCCCCAGATGGGTTGCCCTGCTGCTCCAGGAAATTTTTGGGTCTCTCCACTCGTTTTCTCCACGCCGAGGGCTGGGGTGAGCACGAAGGGTCTGAGTTACACGGCATCTGTGAGTTCCACTGATATGAGCCGTCTGACCACCCCGTTAGATCTCGCTACCATGAATGTCGGATATGCCTCTACTTTTTAGGACCTCCACTTCGTGTCCAATGGCGCTGTTCTTCCCGCCACTCTTCCTTCCCGCCCCATGGGGAGCTGTGGGAGCGGTATTGGATTACGTCGCGGTAGTGATAGCCCGAGAACACCGCACTCATTTAACCCCAGATACGGAACTCTGCCGGTGCAGGCGGGCGGACTGCAGAGTTGAGCCTGGTGTCTTCCTCTACGAGCTAGCCGTGGCGTGATACTAATAAGTCTTGAAAACGTCCGCTGACGCGGAGCCGCCGCATGTGCGCAGATGGCCGCTACTACCACCGCTAGTACTTGACACGTGAAGAACCGCACGAGGTAAATGGGATAGGTACCGTGGTTTATCTGATGGATGACTGATCTTGGATCCTTGCGCGTGTTTAGATGCAGCGCTGGGGGATGTGGCCGAGGTAAGGGAAGGTGGGTGCGTTGCTTGGGACTGCGTGATGATGCTGCTGTTAGACCTGGAGCCAGGACCTTGGGAATTGACAGGCGCGCTCAACGTCTCCGACGCAGCGGCTCAGTTTGGCGGGTATGCTGCGTGGCTTCCACGTTCCGACTTGGTGACTGACATCTGTCGGACTGGGTCGCTTGAGGAAAACTTATTCTACATGAGTTAAGCTATCGTCGTGCAGTGTAGTACTTGAAGTCGCTTCAGCACATGGTGCGCGTAACGACGCGATTGCTATGGGCGTGCCCCTCCGCGCCTGGGTATCTCGATGCCACGCATTCAGTACTGCTGAACATGCCAATACGCGATCTTTTGCATAAGCCTGTGAAGAACAAGAGACCGGTACAAAGATGGATCAGCGCATACGGCCCAATACGTTGGGTCGTACCAGCCGTATTCCATAGCCGTTCTTTCAGTGTTCGTGATGCACATGACCCGTTCCAAGGTTGCCTTTGTACTGATTCGGCACTAATGCCACAAGCGCATATGCTGAATCAGTAGCTCGAAAAACGAATACCCGCCCACTGTTACGAGCGCAACTGTACCACACATCACCAAAAGATTCGTTTTCCATCTTTCTTTGCCTACATAGAAAGCAAATAGCAGGCCGCAGTGCGCAGTCCGGCTCTCGGCACACCCAGGGTTTGCAGATCAGAGGTCAATCCGGCCAACATTGCACACTCCATATCTGGCGTATGTACTCGAGCCAATCCAAGCCGGCGGGCGCCGTGCTCTTACGACCGGGAGTATGCAGGGCGCCTGAGATGTGACGGGTTTGCGCACAACGGAAGGTTGGTGGCGTTAACATCACAGCTCGAAGAGGTAGAGCATCCTGTCTGCAGCTGCTACAGATGGTGGAAATAACCTAAGCGACATGTCCATGGTCTCAATACTTGTTAGCGAATCTCACCGGATGATGAGATACGATTGGAATGAGATGCGCACGGAAACCCTTGAAGACGAAGAGAAGATGACAAGATGACGATCGAGTAAGCTTTCGCACATGCGGATGCGGCGCACACACATGACGGACCTGAGTGCTCGTGAGCGCCTTATGACGGACCTGCGTAGTTGCTTCTCACAACCTCACGCAGCTACTTTGAAATCCAGTCTAGGACTTTGAGCTGCAAAACAGATCCATGAATGCGCAATAGCTACCCACGCAAAATGAAGCTCGCACTGTTACTAGAGTAATTTTGACAGAAATCAACACAACGCCATCGCTGAACTCAAGACTCAAGGAACGATACTCTCCCCACAATCCGCCTCTCGTCCCACAAACCATCTTTCCCTCACGAACAAGTCCCATCACCCAAATCTCAGCGCGCATCTCCAAAGATAAGCTCTTATGAGTTGGAGGAGCCGGACAGCAGCTATGATGATAACCAGATTTCGGCCCCCCATCGTCCATGTGTGCTAGTGCTAAGCAGCATTCTGCGCCTACATCAGTTGCTTAGGCGTCTTCCCATCCTCGTCTCTCGAGTTTACGCGTGCGCCATGTTCCACCAGCAGTTTCATGGCATCGGCTTTGCCAGTCGAGGCAGCAAAGTGCATCGGTGTCCAGCCCTTCCAGCCCGGAACGACCTCCTCCAAGTCCGCGCCATGCTTTATCAGCAGACGCATAGTATCGAGCTGACCGAATCTCGCAGCGGTATGCAACGCAGCAGTGCCCGCTATAGGCGTACCGCGCTCCAACAGCATCTCAGTCGTGCGTGGACCCTCATTCATGGCAGCGAAAGACATCAGAGACGATCGAAAGTTTCCGAGTTTCTTATAGCCCGGCGCAACGGGATGCAATGGATCTGCCCCAAGCTCGAGAAGTGCAGCAACTACATCTGGTTTCCTTCGCCTCACGGCCTCGTAAAGTGGCCGCTGGTGGCCGTGGCCGATGCGGATCTCGATGACCTTCGGGTAGGCGGCGCCTAGTGCCTGGATGACAGCGGCGTGGCCACCGTCGATGGCCTTGTTGACGACATCTCTATCCATGATATCGGAGAGGGAAACGTCAAGCTCTGTTGCAAAAGCAAGTAGTGCGGTCACAACAGCAGCGTGGCCATTCTGAGCCGCTACCATCAAGGCCCGCTCAAGATTTGGAATTGGCCTTGCCATAACTTTCCCACGTGGATCTTTACTATAGATGGTGTGTGGTTTACTGAGCATCGTCGTGATGTGTTGTGGCTGTGATAGCAGACTCCATAAGGCCGCGTCGTCGCCAGACGAGCATGTTTCGATGAGACGGCGAGCGTCGTCTTGCCCTACGAGTACATCGCCTACATCTCTGGACGAAATATAGAGGGCCGGGAGGTCCTTGAGATTTGCTATGGTCGGTTCCGCCATATTTGAGTCGCGGTGGTATTGGCAATGGCGATGATCGTGAAAATGTTGGTCAAGACGGTGAATATGAAGTGTCCGCAGGTAAGCGAGGGCTTGCGTAGTTTTAATTCGTGTGAAAGCTATACAAAGCTTCAAGTATTGTGTGCTTCGGCAGTCAAGATAAAGGTGCAGGTGCGACACAGTCGAACGAAATTTGGAAAGTCCTGACCTTTGTTAGGCAGCCGCAATAATAGATCGGGTCTAGCGCCCTGGCGTAAATCAAGGTACCTGGGCACCAAAGTAGTCACCATGTGGACTTTTATGTACAGACATGCAAATTGGCTAGCTGTAGCACTATCATCTAGGAAGAAAACATTGTTGGCGACTTGTTGCCGCTGATCACGATATAGTCGGGCGTTGAGCGCAAGGCTGAGTGGCGGTGTCTACTTCAACAATTTTTCAGCCCCAACACCTTGTACAGAGAAAAGACTGAACACCCTAGGGCCTACTTTGACTGTAGGCCACCTGCTTTACACGTTTTCATGTAGACTTCAGGGTGTTCGGATTTTCCCTTGGATGTGCTGCCAGAAGGGCAAGACTCGTTTTTCGCGCGGTACGAAATAGCCATTCTGCACGATAGGCACAAGAACGGGAACATCAAGTCCATCGCCCACATGCAAAAAGATGCGACGAAGCCATCGCAGGCCATGGCCACGGAAGACGCAGATGGGAAGCTGACTTGGAAGAATGGGTTTAAGGAGGGTGACTCGAACGCCTCTGGCACCTACGATGTATGCGCATCCGATGGCACAGAATGCGACGTACCCCAGCCCAACAGAAAGTACCCCAAGCCCGGATCAAAGCCAGAGGCACCGGCTAGTTCCAAGCCCAGCAAACGCATGGCCTTCTCCATCGCCATGATCACGCACTACTACGGCCACGGCACATCTGTAAGCTTCAATCACGAGTGGAAGTTCTACACCACCAGCGTCGGCAAGGCCGTGGGCAGTTGCGGCGAGACTGACGGCAAAGAAATCGTTGCGGATACCGATGAGACACCTCGTGCCAGTTCCGATAGCAAGACGCCGTTCCCTGGCGGCATCTTCAAGCTTGACATTGAGGGTGAGGCGTGCACGTACAAATGCAATGGGAATACCCCAGGAGGACTGTTCTGTCCGCCGAGGGAGATTACCTGTCGTGAGAATTCCAAGAAGAACCAGGAAGCTGGGGCTATGAGTGTGGAAGGGATCAATTATTTGCTCCGAGCGTGTTTTGCGATTTCTAGGGAATTTGAGCGAACATGAAGACAGGTGTTCTGTTGCAGCATATTGTAACCACAGTAGCGGAGATACGAGGTCTGGGAGCCCTGGGGCTTTCTTGAAGTGTTGCTTTAGCGGTATGTTATGGAAGCGGACCTCTGCGACGGGACATGCGATACGGAGCCGCCGAATTTGATGGTGAGCGATGTATGGTCATGCATGATGGCTGCGAGGGTACTGTTCTCAGTGCTATCAGCAGGCCAGTTATCAATGAGTCGCAAATAGTGTGTAGCCGCAAGACTTCTATGCCTCACGTGACAGTCTCGAAGTGGAACTCGCATTCGTCAAAATCCGATGCGCCACCCAACTTCCCAGTCGTTACCAAGCCCTGAGCCAAGGCGTAGGATGCAACGCCATGCATCCTTAGGCTGCGATCCTTCATGCCGTCGCGGATAACTCGGGACTATCAAACGAGGTCCACGGATGATCTCTTCCACAACTCTTTGTCCGGCCAAACACGTTCTGTTTCAGAACGCATGTTCGAGCGGGGAACTCAATGGAGAGGCACGAACCGGTGTGTGTATGCAGCAAGCACCTGCAAAGTATGTTTGAGATTCGGTATGCCTGGGCATCAGTAATCAGGGCAGTGATCTGGCATGAGAGGTGGTCGTGCAGTGTAGCGTCTGAGGTGAGATGATGCGTTAGTACCAGGATGGCGGGCGACGTATGGATCTCACACACCAAGGCTTGTCGTAAGCAAGCCCGTTATTCCAACACATCGCTTAGGTACGTGAGGCGGAGTATGTACGTTGCTCATAGTGCGGAGTTGTGGACTGCAGGAGCGATGCTGCTGCTGCTACAGGCCCTGTATCACGTCCAACAAACTCGAAGTGACGGTCATATTGCTCATGCGTCATCTGGATGCGGAAATAGATGGAGATGGCTTCCAGAAGAGCAGGCCCGCGGTTCCATGTCGCGGGCAAATATCGATACACTATAGGCTCCTTGGCGCGGTTGAGTGCTTGGTATGGCGATGTGGCACAGACGGAGCAAATGAGCAGGCAACAATAGATTAAGCAACTTGAATAATGGCACCGCGAAACCGGGTTCTCGGACTCGCAACGAATTCCCTCCATCAAGAGCGGCTCGACGCGCGGTGGTGAGGCGCTGTAAGGCATGCCGGCCCTGCACGGATAAACACACGCCGTCAGAGCGCCGGTCGTCGAGGAAAGGTTTGGGGACCTGGGGGAATCATCGGGCGCTATCGGACCAACGATTGCTTGGCCTACCTTAATTTTCCACCGGTTCCGGACGACTCCTCAAATCGTGGGCTAGGGGCTGCCACTATACGGTACGACGCTCCGATGGCGCAGTTCTGGACTTGCGGCTCAGAGCACGTGGGCTTGCAGTCGCTCCAGTGCTTCGCATTCGGCAGGTGCAGCAGCATGTGAAGATAGCTAGTGGACACGTTGCGTGTGGAAGCTGGTCTGAAAGGATTGAGAATACGAGCAAACGGCCGATGGGGCGCTGCGACTCATCGCTGTGAGGGGTGTGTTTGGCGAGGACCAACCCAACACCGGGGATAGCAGCGGCAAGGAAATTATGCTTAAGTCTGCGCCAACCTTATCTGCAACCTTGCAGCTGTAAGCGAAAGACAGATTACTGAGCGCACGCAGATCGCCGTTTATTCATGCTCACAGTAATCTTGAAGAGAAGATGTCGGCCCGTAGAGACATACGACGGCTTTCCCTGCGACTTGTGCTTGGTGATTGAAGCGACGTAGGTGCCTGCAATCGCGAACCCATGATGTAAATATCCGGTATGTGGAGAAGCCAACGCTGGGCAGGCTTGACAAGTCGGATGACGCGGCTTCGACGGTGTGAGCTGATAAGACAAGCAGCGGGCGTTGTATGAACGTGGAGAAGGGCGGGCTTGGCCATCCATCGAAATAACAATCCTGTTTGCTACTTGGCAGGCTTGAGTGCGACTGATCCAATGGTTCCACCCGGAGGTTTACCTCTCTCGGGCAGCTGAGACGCCATATTCCATGGCATCTTGCACAAGTGCTCGTCCGCAGTCTACGGTCTTGGGTGAGTCTTGACAAAGAAAGACGGTCTGGTGAACAAGGTGCTGCGCTGCCCACTTGGTAGGCAGCAGGGTTTTACGCAAAGTCGGATCTCGTCATGGCGCAACACTGCCACGATGACAGTCAAGGGGCGGGAAGTCTCATGGCTTCGATGCTCAGCTCCTCTGTTCTGGAAGCGGAGAAGCGACGGCCCTGTGATACCGCCAGTGTGGGTAAGTCGGATCCTCGTGGCACGGTGGTAAGCTTAAACCGCAGGCACCAAGCTTAATCAAAGTGCTGGCCGAGCCTTTAAGCGAATGAGCTGAGAAGTTGCAAGCGCCGGATTACGTTGGTGTGGATCGGAGCGGATGTCTGATCCAGAGCGGAGTGTAGAATCGGCTTGGTTGGCGGGTACTGTTTCCACGTATGCCACAAGTTTGCGGGCGGCCGTTTCCTTGCGTGAGCAGACGGCACAGAAACTCTGCACTTAGCCGGAGCGTGTAGGGCATCCTTCGGGACTAGGCAGGCTCCTTTGTCGCGCAGGTCAGTTGTTTGTCCGCTTCCAAGGGCGCCGAGAGCACGACAGGTGGAGATTTCTTAGGGGACCGAGGCCAAGCATGCCATGGCCTGCCACAATCTGAGGGCGACGCGAGCGTGGGTTGGTTTTGGGACGACACGGACTTTTGGAACGCCTTGGCTGTGCTTGGTGTGTTGCTGCTAGCGGGGGCCAAGCAGGACAAGACGGATTGACGGACTGATGGACCACACCGCGAAGTCTTGGGAGGTGTCAGCGCCGGGGTCCGAGTGGGGCTGCCAAGGGATCGAAGGCTTGTCGAAAATAAAGATTCGTTTAGAGTTATCCGGCTCGCAAAGCTTGGCTGGGCGAGCCAACGCCGCCAGGCGCTGGGTGGTGCTGGGCATGCCGTGGCTCCGGCGTGTGCGAGCCGCGGTGAGGGCACGTCGCTGCAAACAGCTTCTCACGTCGTCTGGGGACGCTGGCTGGTGGCACAGGGCGGCATGGCAGATATTGGGGGCTGTGTGTGGGTAGACGCTGCTGGGGCTCCGCTGGAACGGAGGGCCAGTGAGCAGCTAGCTGGGGTCCAAGTAAAGCTTGTCGTGCGCCTTATTTCGCTATCAGACGCCACTCCACGTCTCGGCGGGCGATCAAGACGACGACCCCAGCGCCCAGAAAGGGCCAGAGACGCCAAAGGAGCGTTGCTGGGTCCCAAGCCCGCCTGCCTGCAAGTACATGAGGGCGGATGACTGCTGATGGCTTTCCAAAGATTTCGCCCTCTGACCCATCTTCCCCAACTTCCAGCTTTCGTCACCTACCGCCGCCTATACCAAGTGGACCACTGCCGCGCACACCTATCAGACGCTGACTCCGTTTCATTGCCGGCCCGTTTCACGTCACCGGACCTCGACACATTTGACCTCATCGCACTGCCCCATATAGACGTTGCGACGGCTCTGCAGACACGCCCCGTCACAGTCACACACCCTATTGTAAGTCTCCATCTATGTTTCGTGTCTCCGTGCCGCTCTGCCTGCCCCCTCTCTGGCATGCCGTTCGTCGGTTCGCCATGTTCCAACATTCATGCGCACCGCGATTTCCGAGTTTGCCGGAAACCCTGCATACCAAGATTACTGCAACTGTCGCATTGCTTTGAACCCGAAGCGCTCGTTCCATGGCTTGGACTAACGCGATCCACACAGCATCTATGAGGTCTTGACACCTCCACACTATCTTCGACACATTTCCCCCACACACGTCTTCGCAATGGAGACCTACCACGGACACGTTCGCACGCCAAACGATGCCATCATCCTGTTTGAGGCCTGCCGCATCGGCATACTACCGCGGGTACAGCGCCGCCTATCCGAGAAGGAGCGCCAGCAGATCAAGTCGGGCTCAGTATTTGTATGGGACGAGCGCGAGGCCGGCATGCGGCGGTGGACCGACGGAAAATCATGGAGTGCCAGTCGCGTGTCGGGCAGCTTCCTCACGTACCGAGAGATGGAGGGCAAGCGGGGAGGCAGCGCAGTTCCCACAGCCCCAGTAGCGAAGAGGGCAAGCGGAAAGTCGCCAGACGGCACAGGCTCAGGTGAATCGGACGGCGAGGGACCAGACGGCTACCGGTACAAGCCGGATGGTCTCATGAAGCAGTCCTTCAGCATAACCACCCAGAGCGGACAGCACCTCCACCTCATCAGCTACTACTCGCGATCGAATTCCAACAACCTCCCACAGCCGACCAACGATGCGCAACTGCGGCACATCCGTCCGCCAAAGAACATGTACCCGGAGTCGGCAGTGAACGAGACCCAGACTGTGCCTGCCGTCACTCGCGGGCCCATGCCTGGCTCACCATACAACGCACCCGGACACAGCATGGCACCTTCCTCGCCATATACCCGTGGTGGCCCTGTCGCACCCATGTACGCGATACCAATGTATCCTCCCACACCACCCAACGGTACACCTCCCATGTACTACTCGCACCAGCCTTACTTCTACCCCGGCGTTGTCTACGCGCAGCCTCCATACCACCCACAACACGTCTTCGACCGCCCACCAATGGCCCACCCTCACGCTCCTCAAGGCCACCATCCCATGCTGATGCAACACCCCGCTTACGCAGCGCACGCCGCACACGCTGCTCAACAATATATGGCGACACCGCCTCTCCGCACTCCGTCGACAGCCGAGCAAGCTCAACAGCAGCACCTTCAGCGTGCTACTGAACTTGCGCGTCCGAAAGTATCAGCCCCCGAGCAAGGTCCGCAACTGCCTGCCATCAACGGCGCGGCCGCCTCAGCAGGTGCGAACAAGCCACCGACACCAGAGCCCTCCGACAAGTCCGAGTCTCGGGCACC